CTACACACAACAACAACACACACACACACACACACACACACACACACACACACACACACACACACACACACACACACACACACGACATCCACCGTACCATCCAGCCCATCCGTGCTGGGAGACGGATGTGTCTGCAAGGAGGTCCAGATAGACGTTGCAGGCGCCGTCCTCCCGCTCATACATCTGCATCACGCACAGGTTCGCCACCACCTGGCATGCTGTTGTGTTTGCAAACCCAGACTGGCGGCACAGCACCCAGTTGTTCCGCAGATGTGCAGAGAAGAACGCAGACTCCACCACTTGCTGCGAGTCGGGGAACAACACGTCAATGTCGGAGACGCGCAGCTGATAGGAGGCAAGCACACCCGTAGGCCAGCAGGCCCCGGCAATGTTTGTCTCCCCGCTCGGGCACTGGCAGCTGTCGTCGGCCACAGCGCGCATGCTCGGGTCAGAGCACATACTGCACTGCGCTGGGATGACGACGGTGTTGGCGGGAAACAGCAGGCCGGGCGTGGTGTCTGCTGCCACCGTCACTGACGTTTGCGGGGCGCGGTCACTGGTGCATTGCTCGCATCGTACGCGCGGCAGGAACGCACCCGAGTCATCGCGCTCAACTGGCAAAACACATGTGAGTGTGAGTGAGTGTGTGTGTGTGTGTGAGTGTGGGAATACGCAATCGCGAGTGAGTGTGCCCTTGCGTGTGAGTCGATACCGCAGCACACGCATGAGTGACAATGGTGTCAATGGCATTACATAAGCAACAGCGGCAGCAGCAACAGGAGCAGCTACGGCAGCAGTAGGGAATGGCCACAGTGTTCCAGTTTGGCTGACCTGGAACTGCGAGTGGATCTTGGCACAAGCATTGTCCATCCTCAATGAAGGTGCCGTTCCCAACACAGGTGAGGCAAGCTGTGCCATCCAGCGACACCACCTTTCCCGCAAGACGCATCGAGGCTAGCGTGAGAATCAAGCATCAGCATCGGCAGCGTGGCGCGACTTACGGCTCGCAATCACATCAATGGGCGAAGCAATGTAACAGCTACAACAGGCCTGTTTGTGCTCACCTCGTCGGCAGCACAAGGGCTGCACGAGAGTTCGGTTGACTCTGGATCATAGCTGGCCGCATAGCCTGCGTCACACTCACACGAGATGCCTGTTGTCGGGTTGTCGGGTTGTTGGGTGAGCAGGGAAAGGAAAGAAGAACACGCTGCGACCAACACGCAAAGACATGGATAGGAAGAAGACTCAGACACAGAGACACACGTGGAGAACACAGAGAGCGAGAGGGAGCGAGAGGGAGCGAGAGACAGAGATAGAGAGAGGGCACACAAACATAGACGCACATCACCACACGCACGCATCACACACGCACACATCACACACACATGTACACACACGCACGCATCACACACATGTACACACACACACACATCACTACAGGCGCGTCACCACACATACCGTCTGCAGCCTGGGATGCAAAGGAAGGACAGCTCACGCAGGCAAACAGGATCTGATCGAAGTGCTCCGTTTCTGCACATTCCACTGCTTCCACAGCAGCACCCGGCTTGACACAGCAACCCACCAGCGCGCTCACAACAACAACAACAACAACAGCGAGCACCCGCATCGTCGTCCTTCGCATCCGTGTGTGTGTTGCTGCTTTGGGTAACGGCAAAGGCAAAATTGACTTTACGCTGTCAACCGAAAGGCAATTTTGCCCTTGTGCATTTCCAGCACGCAAAACAAAAGAAGCGAGAACAGACAGCAAGAAGCAGGCAGGTGCGTGGTGGTGATGGCTTGGTCTGCTTGACATGAACCACAATGGTGGCGACGAGGAATGGAGCGGTGGTGTGATGTGTGAGTGATGTGTGAGTGATGTGTGATGCGGGGAGGGTGTGCTGATTTCACAGCCCCTTTTTGTTGGGCATCTTTTGTGTGAGTGTTGTCATGGTTTCTTCTGACATGCAGCGTCGCCGTCGTTCATTCAATTGTCGTTGTTGACTTGATGTTGTCGTTGTTGTGGGTGTCCATGATCCAAATCGCATCCCACAGACAGACAAACACACACGCACACACACAGTGCAGAACACCACAGATGGATCCCGAAAAGTGGATTGACGCAGTCAAGGACTGCCAATACTTGCCGGAGCAGGACTTAAAGGTGCGCTTTCGCTTCCGTCGTGAGTGAAGAAGCGGCCAATGTGGTGGTGGCAACCAACTCGCCTGGACCCACCTCGCTTGCACCGAACGCTGTTCCTGATGTGTGTTACCCATGGGTTGTTTCTACAGCTGCTCTGCGACAAGGTCTGCGAGATCTTGATGGAGGAAGGCACGGTGCAGACAGTATCGGCACCTGTAACGGTCTGCGGCGACATCCACGGACAGGTGCAAGGAAATGCTGCATGTGTGTGTGTGTTGTATGCTTTGTGTGTATGTGTGTGTATGTGTGTGTATGTGTGTGTGTATGTGTATGTGTGTGTGTGTTGCGTGTGGGTTGTCTGTGCGCAGGACATGCGGGTGTGTTTTACATTTCCCCTTTCTTCCTCACGACTGATGGCTGTTGTTGTGCCTCCGAATTGCTACCGTCAGTTCTACGATCTGGAAGAGCTGTTCAGGCGTGGTGGTCAGGTCCCAGAGACCAAGTACATCTTCATGGTGCGTCTTGAGCCGGCTTATTCATGCGTGTGTCTCAGAGATGGGCTGGGGTTAAAGCGAGGAGCAAGGAGTGGAGGGGGGGGGGGGCGAGAACTGCAGAGATGAAAGCGAGCTATGTCGCACAAGAGCGCAGGCTTGTGCTAACATATGCTCTTTGGGGGATTGTGTGTGTGTGTGTGTTGTCGTCCTCTCTACCATGAATGGCAGGGCGACTTTGTGGACAGAGGGCATTACAGCTTGGAAACGTTTACGCGGTTGCTCACCCTCAAAGTCAAGTGCGTCAGTTTTGTGTGTGTGTGTGTGTGTGTGTGTGTGTGTGTGTGTGTGTGTGTGTGTGTGTTGTTGT